TTCCAAAGTGCTGGTATACATCATCCAATTGGCTTTGTTAAAGTTCCATATTCTATGTTTTCTACTGGATCTGTCTTCTGCTGCTGAGAAACTTTGCTGCTGGATCTGCGATGAAAAAATAATTGGCAAATGATTGGATCCATAAGGTTCTTGTAAAGTACTCCAACGAAAATAAGAGGCAATATCTCGGGAACAAATAGTTAAGTCTACAGCAGAAGGTTTATTGGAAATAGCAAGAGTGGGGGACCCGTCGTTTAAATATTCTAAATTACAGTATTCTATAGCATCTAGAAGATCTTTACCTAATCTATCATCAATTTCGCAGCCCCATGCCAAATTGTGTGCGTTAAAATCGCCTCCAATTATAAATGGTTTTGGTATATTTTCTAAAAAAGTGATCCATTGTTGCATTAAAACTTTGTTCCTGGGTTCATTATATAGAGAAATTATATGTAAAGGTTTCTTGAAATGTGAAATTTTTATTGAAATACACTTATATGTAAACGAATACGTATTTTGAAAATTTATTTCTTCATATATTACGTTGGATTTCAAGAGGATGGCACAACCGCCATATCCATCAGGGTGGTCAGCTCGAACACAATTAAATTCTTTAAAATTATAATATTTTCCCGGTTTGAACCAGGTTTCAGATAATAGAGCTATAGTGATGTCGTTTTGATGAAGTAAATATTCTAAGTTCTCTTTATTAGCAACTGCTGAACGACAGTTCCACTGTAATACGTTTATTTTATTTAAGTCTGCGAATTTGATGCTAGATTTTGGTTAAAATGGTTACTAATTATCTGAATTACATCAGCTTTTGAAATATTAAAATTATTATTTTGTTTAATTGAATTAACAATTGTAAGAACCGAATCTAAAATGACATTTATTACAGAAGAATTTAACTCTTCTGACTGTGAATCTGTAATGTTTAAGTTTTTTTGGTAGAATTGACTTTTAACTATTCCCTCAGGATGTTTTGGAGGGGAAACTGTAGATACTATTTCTTTTCTAGCTATATCAGTTGGGTCTGAATTATTTGGTTTCTGCCTTTTATTTGGCCTACTGGTGTTTGTGTGAGGATTAAATATAAATTTAGCAAAATTATTTCCCTGGTAGGAAGTAGAAGGTTGTAAATTTTGTGGAGAATTTGTAACATTGTTGGCTGTATTATTCCTAAGAATACTAGCATATGAATTCTTAGGCACTTGTTTATTTGCATCGTAAAAATTAATGTTTGTTAAACCCATAGTCTCTTTTATTAACTTTTGTCGTGTGAATTCTGGGCAATCGCCTAAATTTGTAGTCAAATGATTCCCCTTACAACTGAAACATACTTTTGTGAACTCAACTTTTGTACAATCCTTTGAATTATGAGTTTCTTGGCATCTGTTACATCTTGGCTGACTTCTACATTGATTTCCTAAGTGGCCGTATCTAAGACAGTTAAAGCATAACAAAACTTTCTGTTTATATATTTCAACTTCTTTAATAACCTTATTGATGACTATATATTTAGGTAAAGTTTGCGATTTAAAGGTCACAATACAAGACTTAGTAGGGACATATTCGACAATTTTTTCCTCATTAACAAATTTTTCTACTTTTCGTGTAATTCTTTTAACGTTTGCAATTTCAAATATGCAATGACTATCATACTGTTTAATTCTATTTTTAATATACTCTTCCGACAAATCTGTGTCTATATCCCTAATAACTCCTTGTCTGTGTAAAATAAATTTTGGAATATACAGATCTAAATTATTTGAACGAAATATTTCTAGAGTTTTGTTTTTGATGAGGTTGTTAGCAGTTTTATAATCTTTACATTTGACTCTAATTCTATTTCGGCCAATGCCGTCTATACTTGAAATCATATTGTCTGCTTCAGGAAAGTTAGATAAAATAATTTCACCAATCTTTAAAGGGTTAAGTTTACCTCTAAACTCAGTAGAGCTGTTCTCGATATATACATGATATGGGCCTAGATCATTACTATTGAATAAAAATGCTTGCCTTACCTGTTTTGTTACTTTTTGTTGTGTTTCATTCAGAAGGGTTGTATTTGCATTATTCATCAAATTTATTGGTGTTGGAGTACTTACAGAAAGATCCATTTCGGCATCACTTTGATTATCGAATATATTTCCAGACATACCTGGTTTTGAGGGTTTTTTGCAGTCAGGGGGTCTCCCCCCGCTATTGACACTCATACGGTATTTCAATAAACGATATTGTTGTTAGCCAACGCCACAAATTTCACAATTTAAAGCACAATATTAATTGTAAATTATTGCACGTCTAATTTCTATGAATACTATTACGGAACTGTATGTAATACTGTTTAAATATCTAAAAATTTGTAAGGAACTTCAAAAAGCGTCTTTTAAATTTGACAGTTTTTTGACGTATTGAACAATTTTTAATAAATATATAAAAACGGATGTATAATTTTTTCTCTTATATTTAAAATTCGAGATGCTCACAATGTGGTTATGATGCCATTTGCAAGTTCGTGGATTATAATGTCGCCTCTAAAAATATTTGATTTTCGGTGGATATTTTTTTAGGAATCAATAGGTTTAAATTTTAGTGGTGATTTTAGTAAAACTTGCTACAATCTTTGTTTTTGTTTTGAAAATAATAAATAGTTACAAGAACTTAACACAATCATTTCTTGGGGTAAATATGCAAAACTAGTGAAACTGAATTATATATAATTTAGGAAAATCATTATACGTAAATGTAAAGATCAAGAGCTGGCAAGTCCATCGCGGTCTCAGATACGTTGACACAAATTAATCAGACCAAAGAAATAAATATTAAAATAACTTGGGAAAGAAACATTACTATTTGCAATCAATTTATTAATATAAGCAAAACTATTATAAATACTTATATAAATATCAATCAGTTTTAAAACGTATTGCGACGTTGTCCGATGCCTAATTTCCATGACACTCTAACATCCCATTGGCCCTCTTCAGATCTCTTGTGCTCATCACCTCCGTTACTCCCTCTCTTCAAGATTTCTTGGATCTTCCTCTCTTTCTGCGGTTTGCTGGTACCCATTGTATAATTATTTTTGGGTGTCTTGAGTTATCCACCGTCTGGACGTGTCCGTACCATATCAGCTGTTTTCTTTCTATGTCTGTTATTAGAGAGCCATCAATCCCCATTTGCTGTCTTATCTCATCATTACGTATTCTCTCTCTGCGTGACACTCCTACTGATCTTCTGTTCTGCTCCGTATAATAGACTGCTGTTAATAAGAGATTCATAGATATTGTGTTTTCTTCCTTTTCCTATTTCATGACTCCACAGTACGCTGTTTAGACAACCTATTGTTTTTCTGGACTGTGTTATTCTTCTCTTTATTTCTTTATCATCTTTTCCCGTTGTGTCAAAAATGATTCCTATAATAGGTATGTGTAATCGTCGCAGGGCATGATGATTTCGTTATTTTCTAATGTGATGTTCGATAGTTCGGTACCTATTGGCAATTATTTTGTTTTTTCTGTATTAATTTCTAGTCCCCACCTTTTATATTCTTCTTGTAATTTCCTTGCCGTGTACTCCAGATCATCTTTATCGTTGTCTATAACAACCTGGTCATCAGCAATCTGCAATGTATACAAGCAAATCTCTCCAAGGTCTACGCCCATGCCTCTACATTTTCGTTTCCACTCTTTCAACGCTTTTGTAACATATATTTTAAACAAGGTCGGTGATACACAACACCCCTAACGTAGATCTTTATTAACCAGGAAGCTCTGCGATAGTCTGTTCAGTTTTTATTTGCGATGTTGACTCTTCATACAAATTTCTTAATGCTTTTATTAAGGTGACACTAATATTCGTCTGTCGTAACACGTTCCAAAGTTTATTTACAGGAACTGTATCGTACGCCTTCTGCAAGTCAATAAACATGAGGTGGGTTTCTTGATTTGTGCTTAATTTTTTTCTATTAGTTGTTTGAGGCAGAAGATATTATCAGTACAGCTTCTTCCTGTTCGAAAACCGGGTTGTTCTACTTCCTCTTGGTCTTTGTATTCCTTCTCAATGAGGTCTCTAATTATTCGTCCATGCAAACGGCTGAATGTACTAGTGACTGACATCCCTCGATAGTTTTCACATTTAACCATTTATAAATTGATTTATGCACCAAGTGACAATTTCAAAATTTTTGTGATCCACATTTTATTAGTTTGGCAGGGATATCCCCTGGTCCTGGAGACCTACCGTTTTTCAGTTCTTTTATAGCTTTTTTAATTTCTGTCACTTGTATTGTTATATCTTTTCGTTCAATATTAACCTCTGTTGGTGATTGAGTTAAGTATTCGTCCCTATAAATACTACTTATTATATATAGCGAATATAGAGTGATTTCTATTAAAATGTCTAAATTTTGTAATTTCAGGGGAAAAATGTTGGTAATAAATTGGTTACATTTTAAGCAAGCTGTAATGACGAATAAAAATCGGTGGAAAATTAAGTCTTTTTGGTAGATACAATGCATGCGTCATGTATAATTCTCCTTATTTTTCTTCTCTCACTTACATTCCTATTTTGGTATATGTTATGAACCAAACCGATATTGATAATCAGAGTTAACTACTTTGTTCTATAATATTTAATGTAATTATAATGTATTTTAATATATTTGTTTCTATGCAACCTACAAATAATTTACGAAAATTTTTGAATAAATCTTTGGAATACGAAATTTTCCGTCTTCCTCTTTATCAGTTTTTTATTTTAGAATCAGATAACATCAATTTATTTTTTGTAATTACTTACCTGTGATTATAAAAACAAATCAATGAATCAGGGATTAGGGAGATATTTATCTGTTTCCAAGGTAACGCTTAATACTGCGTTCAATAACCTGATCAGTGTTGCATTAATTATATTTGTTTAAAAAACGTCACTGGATCATTTACGTCTATATGATAATAGAAATAACTATCTACATCAATTTTATTATTTTTTAGCTTCATTTAGTACATTGGAACTCTGCTAAGTATGCGACTATTAATGAGGCTGCAAGTAACCCAGATGGCTTGAGCGTGTTGGGAGTATTTTTAAAGGTAAGAAAATAATACTAGTATTTATATATCACTTATATTAAAGTATACAAACCTGTTAAAATCAGTTGTCTCATTATTTCGGTAGTCGAAGATATAATTATGTTCTTGATATACGTCTCTACTCGTTCGTTTGCTTGATTTCTCACGGTGTTAAGTTAGTTGTGGTACATTTGAAACCACCATGTTTTTTAAGTATATTTATGAGCTAAGGATCGGATATCATGTGTGATTTTATTAATTGTATTTATATGTCCTCAATAAACTATTTTGAGGGGTTTTAGAATTCGAGTTTTAAAAATTACTTTTTTAGAAGAATTACTTTTAAAAATACTTTTTCCAATTATTTATAGAGCTAGAGGTAGTGATATCATATCGTATTGTAAATTCGAAAAAAAAAAATAAAACACAACTAAAAAGTCCAAAGTTCGTTTTAATGTTTTGGAACCAAAAGTCAAATTTGGATTTGCACTAAATAAAGTATTATTGTATTATTGTACTATTGTATTATTATTAATACTATGGTTAGGTCACAGTTTAATGCTTAAAAGAATCAATTAGTTCACTCGTATTTTGACGGTTCCAATATTGCATTCACTCCTGGTATCACATTTCGAATGCGCATTAGGATTAGGAGAAAAACGCGGACTGTTGTCGATTTAACATATTCCATCAGATTCAAAGAATAATCCAAAATTATAATAAAAAAAAAGAGCGTGGCACTTGGCAAGGGCCGATATAAATGAATATTTTTTATAGCGTGTTATTACTATATGTAGGATACGATAGAAATTTTATGTCTCCTTAATACTAAATTGTTAATATTTTTTTGTAATAACACGACACATTTACGTACTTTAAAATTAAAAAAACTTGTTTTACTTAATTTTATTTAATATTACTTTATTTAATTTGATCAAATTTCATTTTATTACATTTTTTTAATTTAATTTAATTTTATTTAATTTTATTTAATTTTATTTAATTTTATTTAATTTTATTTAATTTTTTTTTAATTTTATTTAATTTTATTTAACTTTATTTAATTTTATTTTTAATTTCATTTTATTTTATTTACCTTATTTTCCTTTTTATATCATTAATTTTAATTTATTGTATACAAAGATGTTAAAATCAAAATTCCAAAATCACCAAATCGATCCAGTTGTTATAGAGTTGTTATAAACGTTATATAAAATTATATTTTTTATAATTTTATTTAATGATCTCAGTAATTTTCAAAACTCGTTAAATATATTTAATTTTACCTAATTTTGCGTAATTTTATTTATTATTTATATATATTTTTAATTTCCTTATAATTTTTTTCTAATTTTTTATAGTTTCTGTATTATTTTATAATTTTCTGTAATTTTTATATTTTTTTTATGTTTTATATTTTTTTATAATTTTTATAATTTTTTATAATTATTTATAATTTTATTTAATTTTAATCTAACTTTAATTTTATTTAATTTTGTTTATCTATTTTTTATTTACTTTATTTTATTTTATTTCATACACATATTTTAAAATCAAATTAGCCAAATCGATCCAGTCGTTCTCGAGTTGTTATAAAAATTATATAAAATTATAATAAGGATATGTAAGTGTATTATGGTATACCACAAGGTCACTACACCCGTCTCAAGAGCAACGCTAAATATGATTTCGAAAACATCATACCATGCGCTAAAAAGTATTCACTTCAATAATTATTATCGAAATTCTTGGAAAAGTGGAAAATTAATTTCATAAATGGTAAAATTCTTCACATACCTACTATACATATTTCTACAGTTTGAAAAATCATATTGCCTAATTGACATGAATTCAAACAATTAATCACAAGTATCTATCCATTGATTGTGATATTTTGCAACAGTGATTTTTTCCTAAACAACTTACAGTTAATTCAGTAATTTATATATAAATTGCAGTTATTTATTGTTATAGTTCGTTATTGGATTTTGAATATGGATTTTTAGAGAATCATTGAGAATTTATTTGTGAATATTTTTTAGATACGGCAGTGAAATAATACATTGAACAAAATTTGAAAAATATACTTTCAAATATCTCAAAAGCCTTGTCAGGAATTTCCAGTAGATTATCTAATAGCACTGTTTGTGAGAGTAAGATTTTATTATACACTTCTATTTTTAAACCAAGATATTAGATCCTCGACTAAGGCCAAAGTATTATAAAACTAAAAATTCTCATTCTTGAACATCAAAAAATTGAGCAGGTACAAAAGAAATGATGTAGAGTATAGAACCGTTTGGAAAAACCTTGAAAAACATGGAAGGGTAAACACATGTAAACACAACGTGATAATGGGAAGAATAAGCTTAAGATCCCGAGGAAGAAGAGAAAATTCAAAGGAAAACAGGTTTTTATTAGGTCCGATCAAATAAAAGCGGAAAGAGTGAGAAAGAGAGGGGGAGAGACACGAAAAGTGCGCAACAGTGCTAGTTAGAAAAAAAGGAAGAACAAACACTTACGAACACTATAATAAAGTTAAAAAACTAAATAAGACTGGAAGTAAATATGAGGATTATGGAACCAGCAAATTAGAACAAGTCACAAAACACAAAGTTCATTAAGTCAAAATGTCATAATAGATTAGTACTGAGTAGTACTTGTAGAACTCGAGTACTGATAAGCTTGATATCATAAAGTATTTTAAATCCTTGTAGATCAATATCTGTTATCATTTTTACATTTGTCTGCAAGTAGAATCTGATTTGTCTTTCAAAATTATGATTCGACTGTTACTGTAACTGTCTTAGCTGGGTGTAACAGTATGTTCAACTATTTTATATTCTGCAAGAAACTGAGTATAAGTATTAACTTATTTAGAGAAACCATATAACAGACCTCCCAAAAACTAGCTGTGGTTAGATTATTCATGATTTAGCAAAAAAAAACTTTAAAAACAAAACTTAAGCTATGTAAAAACATAATTTTCTTGAACCTTTTAAAACAGAATATTTCATTTAATAAAGAATTATAAAAAAATAATTACTAGTAAGAAAATTACATACCATGGAGATGTATTAATCAATCCAGGCTGATTATTGGAAAAACTTGAAAACTTTTAAAAACTTAACCTAACTCACAGACCAGTTCTTTTTGCACTAATCTTAATCCCTAGCTTGGGACTTTTCTGTGACTTTTCTGTGAATGATTCCTCAATTTGTGTTATCTTCTATTACGATGACTCTAATAGATAACAATTATAGATGACTATTATAGATCAGTTGAAAAAGCGACTGTTTGCACCCCTTCCTCAAACTTTAGCTCTAATACCTTGTTGCACATAATGTTCCACATCCTCAGGTGGTTCCGACGTTGTGTCTAACTATTTTACTATTTTTTACAATTTGATAGATAATCACACATAATTCTTGTTAGATATGTAGGTATATTCATATATTTCATTATTTCGATTATCATGGCCCCAATCATTGCTATAACTACCCATTTTCTTTTGCTATTTTTAACTTATCTCTATTCTTCCTTACACAATACGGTGGAGAGAGGTAGTTGATATGTTCTTTTTAGGGCCTTGTGGATTAGGCAAATTCTTGATAGCCATCAACTATAGAAGAATCAATCAAATCACTAGATAAAACTTACTACCATTTCTGGATGTGTTAAATCACATATAAGGATGCAGGATATGTAAACAAATTTTCAGTTAACCAACACACCTTAACAGATATTTGAACTAACTTTCAAATAATACTTTCAATTTTAAAAAGAGGATCATTAAATAATTATTCGACAGTTTCCTAAATGTCTACTCTAGCAAAAGCTCTTCTTTGGAAGAAAAACATCTGTTGTCATTTATAAATAATGAGTTTCATAAGGTAGGAGAAATAAAACAATACAACTTTAAAAACGATACATACAAAAAGGGATTCGAAGAGAACAACAATATCATATGTAAAAGTCTTATTAGAAAAATCGTAAAATAGTTTCGAAACACAATTCAGATTTCTGCTTTATAATCTGAGCCTTCTAAAAATTGCAAGACAAACAGACGTTGATAAAAGATGTTAAAAGAGACATGGGGAATCTAAAATTTGCATTCCACGGCATGTCTTTTACAACTAAGCAGAAATCCTTAGCAGAAATCCTTAGATTATAAAGCAGAAATCTGAATTGTGTTTCGAAACTATTTTACGATTTTTGTAATTAGATGTCGCTAGCGCGTCCGTATTGAAGCCATGTTATTGTTGCTTCTTAAAAGGCAGAAAATATTGATTTCTCGCGTTGAGAACTCCTATGAATAGCTGTTCTGACGAGACCTATTAGGTCGAAATACGTATCAACAGATACATAGGATTTGTTTGCGTGAAATCAAATATTTGCTGCCTTTTTTTCATTTTATTCGGATTTACTCTGTGTGAGTACTAGAAGCACAATTCGCTAAGGATTTCTGCTTAGTTGTAAAAGACATGTCGTGGAATGCAAATTTTAGATTCCCCATGTCTCTTTTAACATCTTTTATCAACGTCTGTTTGCCTTGCAATTTTTAGAAGGCTCAGATTATAAAGCAGAAATCTGAATTGTGTTTCGAAACTATTTTACGATTTTTGTAATTAGATGTCGCTAGCGCGTCCGTATTGAAGCCATGTTATTGTTGTTTCTTAAAAGGCAGAAAATATTGATTTTTGGCGTTGAGAACTCCTATGAATAGCTATTCTGACGAGACCTATTAGGTCGAAATACGTATCAACAGATACATAGGATTTGTTTGCGTGAAATCAAATATTTGCTGCCTTTTTTTCATTTTATTCGGATTTACTCTGTGTGAGTACTAGAAGCACAATTCGCTAAGGATTTCTGCTTAGTTGTAAAAGACATGTCGTGGAATGCAAATTTTAGATTCCCCATGTCTCTTTTAACATCTTTTATCAACGTCTGTTTGCCTTGCAATTTTTAGAAGGCTCAGATTATAAAGCAGAAATCTGAATTGTGTTTCGAAACTATTTTACGATTATTGTAATTAGATGTCGCTAGCGCGTCCGTATTGAAGCCATGTTATTGTTGTTTCTTAAAAGGCAGAAAATATTGATTTTTGGCGTTGAGAACTCCTATGAATAGCTATTCTGACGAGACCTATTAGGTCGAAATACGTATCAACAGATACATAGGATTTGTTTGCGTGAAATCAAATATTTGCTGCCTTTATTCTTATTAGAAAAATTAAAAAGGACAGAAAATAAATACAATATTTTAGCAATATGTAAAACAACCACTACATTGATATCTATCTACATTGATATATATTTTATCAAATAACAAAGAAGTGCACCTATAAAATACTTTGATACTGCGACAGTTTGTACCTGGGGGAAAAAAGTGTTAGGAGAACGACCTCGAATCTTATTCATTAAAAACAGATTTAAATAGATCTCAGATATGCAAACATTCTGATATAGGGAACAATGAAAAATGCATCGAGAGTTTTTAAAACAGCATATATTAAAAAGAGGAAAATTAAAGAAACCGCCCTTATCTTACTAAATAACGTAATTTGTGTATCAAACTCATAAATAAAATGCAGCAAAATCTGTTGTCCAATACTAAAACCAGTAAGAGTATATGTATCAATACAAATAAGTTTACAGCAGGTCAGAAACACATTATCTATAATTAACAATAAGATAACTCACAACATAAACATAAGTCTCCGAAGGAGCTGGAAGGTTAAGCTAATCAGAGGGGGCACGTTTATTATATTAAACGAGAAAATTTACCTAAAATGAAGATGAAACAAGGAGAAATCAAATTTTAATACTGTCGGAACTGTTCAACCTTAACCTTAACGTTGAACTTTTGCAAACGAATTATTCCTATCTTTATTCTGCTTATTATGATAATTCTGATTATATAATTTTTACCAGCTTGAAAAATAATATTAATCAATAGACTTTCATAAACACCGTTTATTGTATATTTATGTTTATCCTTGATGCTTAGTATTTTTTATTGGCTATTATTTTTAATGTGTACTGTATTTGTTTACCCTAAGTAAGTAATAATTTCTGAATGTATACAATTATCAATACAATTGCTTTTGTTGCATGATAGTCAAAAGAAATTAATTTCTAGAAAGACAATCGATCATCTTTTATTCTGTACCTAACTTTTAGTAAAATAAATATAATTTCACTATCGATATCATTAACCAATTCAAATTCGAACTTAATTTTGAATTGTTTCTTAATATTATTTGAAGGTTAAATAAAATAGAATAGAAAATCCTTAACAAAAATACTAAAAAAAAATGTTTGATTATTTTTTGCCATTGCGTGACAAACTACTTAATCGATTTGTTTTAATTGATTGGTTATATTATATACCCACAACCTGTAATCTCTCATGAATGTAGCAGTTTTTATCACTTGAAAATTATTTTTGTGTAATATATTAGTAGAAATATAAATGGCATGTCTCGCAAAACAGGAAAACAATCCAGCGAGTTCTCAAAAGGAATGGGTATCACTTTTTTAAGATACAACCGACACAAGAACTTTTTCCGGAAGATACGTTAGATATGTTAGATATGTTAGATAAACAGAATGAAAATGTACATTTTTTAAAAAATATTTTATTTCTGATTAATCTTCCTTTCCATTACTTAAAAACACAATCCATCCGTTGTAAGGTATTATTCTCGGAAAAATAAGCACCTCCGTGTTGCGGTGCGAACACAGCATCCGCAAAAGTTAAATGTTTGGACTGGGATGTTAGGCGACCATATTGTCGGTCCATTTTTAATCGATGAACAATGTGCCTAAACATGCCCAAATATTTACAACTTTTACAGAATGAGATCATTCCGACAGTTCGACGCCTTTCCGTTAATTTTCAGTAGGTTTATTTCCAATGCGATGGGTGTTAGGCTCATAAATCTAGAGCAACTATTGACTTCCTCAATCAAACGTTTTCTGATCGACTGATAAGTACACGTGGTACAATTTATTTCTCTGCAAGCATTAACCAGCCCTACTCCAAAATATGAGGAGAAATCTGTATGGCAGATTTGGTTACTGTTGAGCACAAGGAGATGGAATATTTGAGCCCTTAATTTCATTATTCTGCTTTCCTAATCTGGATTTTGTGTTAGGTACATTTTACAAAGTTTGTAGGTTCTTAATTAGGTAGTATTTTTTTGTTAAAGTTTGGAAGAATTTTATTGTTTTTTTTTTCATTTCAAAGTACAAACGGTTCTTCTTCTGATTTTTTTTTCTTCTTTCTTGTCTTATTGCTATAAGCTTTGTCCATAAAATTTGTACAAGTCTTGATACATATATGTTTTAGATAAAATGAAAAATTTTAAAATAGTGGCAACATTCAGTAATGTTTGTTTTTATTTTACAGCCTGGAAAGAAAAATGATGAGTTGGAAAAAGTAGTTAAATACTTAGATCAAATCACGCATAAAGGAGACGTTGTTGAAATTCCCGAACCAATTGATCCAAAATTGTTAATTCCCAAAGATACCGGAGGGTACTACACTTACCATGGATCTCTCACTACTCCTCCGTGTTCCGAATGTGTTATTTGGGTTGTATTCAAGGAACCGATAGAAGTTTCTGATGAGCAGGTAAATATAATCTGTCAATAAAATAAAGAATATGACAACGATATTTGACAACAGGTAAAACTTGACATAATAGTAATCTTCTGGGCACTTTAACAAAAAGGATTAATGAAATTGTCTGACAAAAATTTGCCTGTTGCATTAAATATTTTCTTTGAAATACAAGTTTGTTGAAATTTTTTTAGCTTTCAAAAAGTTCCGCATAGTACTTTAATCATTTAATCATTGCAACAATTTGTGAAACGTCTTTTCTCTTCTGAAGACAGATATCATTGTGAAAAGATCTTTTTGTTTGTCTCCACATTGTTGAGCAAGAGTTATGAAACTATACAGAGCTTTTACTGTACCGGACAAATTTTAAAAACAACATTTACTTAGAATAAGCAACATTGGGATACTTCTTGCAATAATATATACAATATTATTGCAAGATTGCAATATAATAAACATATCCTACATGTTCGAGTAGTTTTATAATTAATAGATTTTAACAAAAGGTAGATGGCGTGAGCATTTCCCATATTGATAGTAAAAATCATTAAATACAATTTCAGAAGTAAATATATGGTATTATAATAGGCTGTAGCTGGTACCATTCAGTCATGGTTTATGCAGTCACTTATCATCTCGAAACTCTTTTGACCCGATTCGTTTTGGTCTTCTTCGTTTTCATGGTTGATTAAATAAGTTCCCTATTATTGGGTTTTTATGTCTTTATAATTAGTCTCTTTATTTAGTCTCTTGATTATTAGATTCTTTTAATGGGATATTCTGATCCTCATGTAAGATTTAGTAGTTATCTCCATATTTATATAAAACAAATAGAAGCAAATTATCAATTCAACCTCCTACCACGAATAGAACAACAACACTATCATACATAAGAGAACATTGGGCCAAATTCACTTGCGACATGGACTACGACCTATATGGTGCCCAAAAGAAAGTATGGAAAATGCTCCGCAACAGGAAAAAACCAGTTAACGAGTTCGTGCAGACCAAAGGAGTACCTATAGAGGCATGGCAACAGCATTTTAAAGAGCTATATGATGCTGAAGAAACGCTGAATATAAACGAAGGCGAAACAGATGTGAGTGCTACAATCAATGACGAAGAAGTAGAAGCAAAGATCAAAAAGCTAAAAACAGAAAATCACCGGGAACGGATGGTATACCCAATGAACTTTTAAAATATGGAGGCCCGGAACTTGCAAGTAAACTGGCACAACTATTTAACAAAATATTAAACAAAACAGAAACACCAGAGGAATGGCATAATAGTATCACAATCCCCATATTTAAAAAAGGACAAAAAACCTGCCCACAAAACTGTAGAGGAATAACCCCTTTTAAATACAACAATGAGACTTTTAACGGGTATTCTCAAGGACAAATTGGAAAAGCAAATCACTGATTCTGAAGAACAACAAGGTTTTACAAAAGGGCGGTCTATAACAGACGCAGTATTTATAATAAAACAAATAAAAGAAAAAGCTATAGAGTTCGGCATGCCAGCGTATATTTGCTTCATTGATTTGACGAAGGCATTTGACAGAGTTCGCCTGGGAGACATTCTAAATATATTAATAGAAAATGAAACACCGACCAGTATAACAGAGATACTCCATAACCTAAATAACAACAACGTAACCAACGTTAGAGCAGGAGACGAATTCACTGAAAATATTCCAACACCGGGAGGAATTAGACAAGGCGACAGTTTAAGCCCCTTCTTGTTTAATCTTCTCATGGGCAAAATTATCAACAAAGTAACATCTCTTAATCTCGGATATAGAATGGGCAACAAAAGAATTGGTATGGTGTGTTACGCAGACGATGCATCAATTATTGCCGAATCAGAAGATGATCTTCAAAGGCAGCTCTTTCAGTTCTTTCAAACAAGCCGACTACTAAATATGAACATCTCTACCAACAAAACTAAATGTATGACAATAGCAAAAGATCCGCTCAGATGTAAGTTAGTGGTTGAGGACAACCCCATAGAACAGGTGATGCAATTCAGATATCTGGGCATAGATATATCAAGCACCCACGACCCAGTAAAGGACCTGAGGAGTCAGATCAACAAAGCATCTGCTCTGTCAGGATGTCTGCGGGAGATAGTCTGGTCAAATCCGTATATGCGCACAGATAGTAAAATTAGAATCTATAAGACTTGCATACGACCGATCATGACATATGGCATAGAAGTGCGCGAAGATACCAACAAAACGAAACAGATGCTAAGAGTTGCCGAAATGAAAACCCTAAGAACAATAATGGGGAAAACAAGAAGAGACAGAGTGAGAAATACAAACATTAGAGAGCAGTGCAAAATTCAAGATATTGTAAGATGGGGAAGGCAGCGCAAGAGGATGTGGTACAACCATGTAAGACGAATGGATGAGAATGGACTCCCAAAAATTGCCCTAGAAAACAATCCGCCCGGTTCTAGACCCCCCGGAAGACCACCTAAAAGATGGAGGGATAGTTGGCAATCTACCTCCCAAGAAATTAACCAGAGGCAGCTTCAGAATTAAACAGATCGAAAGATCTACAAAAAGTAGAAGAAGAAGAAGAAGACTATCATACTCAGAAGAGGCTAAGTATCTCTGAATTTTTCTTTATCTATCGGAATCTTACTGGAATGCTCACCTAAAGCAATAGGGGCCTTTTCACTTGCACTGGGTTTTTTGTCAAAATGATCTATTAATGAGATACAATCATTGACAGAACAATTACTTATAATGCGCTGAGTCGGCGGAAATAACTGAAGACGGACTGATCGTCTTCCTGATCCAAAATATTGCAAACCGTTCGTTGATAATTCATTAAGAATTGCCCCTATTGCCGTTGTTAGCAAATGACTAAGAAAGTACTAAAAAGCTACTGGCCTGAGAAAATTTTGAATTTAGAACTATAGAGATAATGACAAAACAATACTTACCATTAAAAGAAAGAAATGGAAGTAGTAATTTAAAATATTAGGCCCTGGAATAGTGGCGTGGTAGTAAAAGAAAATGGGAGGACCGGATAATAGCGGGCCAAGAATTATAACAAGAAAACACGAAAGAACTTAATTTAGGTATAGAGAATTTAACTAAAAGCGAGAAATAGGACGACAGAACTTGTTGAGGAAATTGTAATGGAATGACAGAAAGAGGATGTGTTAATTTAGTCTAGCAGGGAAGCTGGGAAAAACTCAAAGCATGTAGCAACATAATCACTTGGAGAGAGCAAAGTAACGAACACTAACATATCAAAAAATTAAATTTCATGGTTTGGAATATGAAATAGAATACGCAACAGGCATACAACCACTGTGAACAAATGGGAAATCAAACGAATACTTTAGTCAGACAAATAAAAAAGGAATACTAGCAGAGCTTCTCAAAACAGATGGAACACGACTCCTACGTAACAAAAATGGAGTATGATCAGAGGAAGAAGAAAAGAGATAAACTAATAAAAACGAAACATATTTAGAAAGAAACATTTAGAGACTACATTCTATTCCTATTTGCTAAGGTTGAGGGCAATGAGCCACCAGAAGTGACGACAAATGAGAAATTAAATAATATAACAGAAACAATGTGGAGAAAGCAAAATATCGGTAAGGAAATAAAAGGCAAAATTTACAAAACAGTCATCACACCAATAATGACATTAAACTTCTTCTTCTTCTTCTTCACGTGCCATCTCCGCTACGAAGGTTGGCTATCATCATGGCAATTTTGACTCTGGAGGCGGCCACTCGGAACAATTGTATGGAAGTGCAAGCAAACCACTCCCTGGAGGTTTCTCAACCATGACATTCTTCTCCTACCTATGCTGCGCCTACCTTCAATCTTTCCTTGCATAATTAGTTGTAACAGTTGATATTTATTTCCACGTGTAATATGTCCCAGGTATTGTAGTTTCCTCATTTTAACACTCAATACGACCTTTTGTTTGTTCATCCTGTCTAATACAACTTGGTTAGTTATCTTATCCTTCCAGGAGATTTTTAACATTCTTTGGTACGCGCACATCTCAAATGCCTCCAGCTTACCCATACATTGCTTATTTAGTGTCCACGCCTCCACCCCATATAACAGGACCGAGAAAACATAACATTTAAGCATTTGTATTTTCAGCTTTAGGCTTAGGTTACGGCTACACAACATGTTTCATATTGTTAAAGGCACTGTGGGCTTTCTCTATTCTTATTCTTATTTCTCTGGTGTATTCGTTTGACTCGTTAATATTTGTTCCGAGGTAATTGTAATTTTGTACTCGTTCAATGAGATTCTGTCCTACATGTAAGATGATTTTAATGATACGTTTCTTTGTAATTATCATGAATTTGGTCTTCTTTGTATTCAGTGACAGACCAAATTCTTCACTTGCTTCTACCACTTTGTTTAGTAATCTCTGTAGGTCGTCAATATTTTCTGCTATGAGCGCGGTATCATCAGCATATCGGATATTGCAAATGGGGTGACCGTTGATCTTTACTCCGGCTTTTTCGTTCATAAGCCAAACATTGATGACATCAAACACAACCCAACAAAGAGAGGACAAAAATAATTTTAGAAAAAGCAGAGATGAAAACTATTAGAAACATTGATAGTAAGACGCTATGGGGCAGAGCTAGAAGTAAAGATTTTCAACGAAGAGTAGAATGGGACGACCATATAAGCGAATGACAAATAGAGTAGTAAAGACCGCGAGACACGGTTCCTCAATAGGAACAAATGTTCCTATGACGAACAGAAGACGATCAGTAGGAAGACCATGAAAAAGATGGAATAACTTACTGAAGGCACATTAAAAACCAGACAGAGTTATGTCTACATCAAAGAAGAAGTAGAGTCATCGCTCGTTAATGGCTAATTTTTGTTTACGTCATTTTCTGCTTCAATTGGTATGTTTAGTGGTTATGTTGTTGTTCTATTATGTGATATACCAGATTTATATAAGTTTAAGAGGTTTTGGAATTAATTTTTATGTAGGTACCTGTTT